TTGCTGGTCCTGGTCCGGTACGGGCGCGACACTGAGGGTTGCGATCCATTGCCGGTTCACGAAAAAAGACAAAAAGGAAAAAATAAATAAATAAATAAATAAATAAATAAAATTAGAGATTAAGAATTTGGGTTTTGCTTTCTATATGCTATCATCTTTTGCACCTAGTTTTAATTTCATCTTCTGAGAATGATAACTTGATGGGAGTGGTATATTTGCTACACTCTCCAAATATATAAAGACGTCTATGGATATATGTCTTTGCTGAAATTCATGAGTTGTATGTATATGTGAGTATAAGGGAGGTAGGTCCCTAGAAATTTCTTAAGAATAATATGCAACTAGAAAATTCACAGTTAAACTCACAGTAACTGATAAGCTATCTTGAAGTGAGATCTTCAGCTTTCTCACTTAAATGGTACACAGTCCCAAATCTAAATGAAGACATCACTTATTTATTACTTCAAAGATTATGTCACAGGCACTGATCTAAGCATGGAGGAACAGCAGTAAACAAAGCTCTGTCTTTGTCTTCCCAAAGCTTATATCCAACTGAATGGAAATAGGTAATAAGCAAATAAATAAATGGAACATGGTAGATTTTGATTTTGGAAGAAAAATAAAGTAGGGTAAAGGGAGTAGAGAGTGATTGAAGCTGGGGGTGAAGTTGAGGGGGGTTGGGTGTTACTGTTTTCTGTGGAGTGTTCAGAGAAGGCCTCTTTAATAATATGACATTTGAATTTGACCTGAAGGAAGTGATGGAGTAAGCCAAGCTGCTATCTTGGGAAGAATAAGAGGAAATAGCAAATTCAAATTCCCTGAGTGTGTACCTGGTAAGAAGGCCAGTGTGGCATGGAGGAGCAATGAGGAAAGTAATAAGACATGAGAACAGAGAAGTTCAGGAGATTATGGAGGGTTTTTGTAGGTATGAAAAGGACTTTGACTGAGATGCAGAAACACTGGAGGATTTTAAACAGAAGATTTGAGTCATAATTTAAAAAGATCGCTCTAGCTGCTATGTTGAAAATATACCCTGGGGGAAGTGGTTAGGAATCCATCGCAATAATTCAGGCAAGAGATAGTAGTGTTTTGGACCGAGATGTTAGCAGTAGAAGTACTAAGAAATAAATAGATTTTGAATCTGTTTTGAAGGCAGATTCTATAGGTTTTAAATGCTAATAATTAAACCTACAGTGACAGGAAATTTATGACTCACCCATTCCATATCTGAATAATTCTATTAAAATTTTATAAAATTCTTACGGCAAAAATAAATAAATAAATGCCAATAATTTAAGTGAAGGATGTGAGAGAAAGAACTCAAGGATAACTCCACATTTTTGACTTTGAATAACAAAGTATGGAGTTCCCATTTACTAAAATGGGAGAATACTCCAGAAAAGCAGGTCTTTTTAGGGTAGGAATCAGGTGTTGGACTTAGGTCTGAGATGCCTAATTAGACTACCAACTGGAGATATCAAGTAGGTTGTTGACTGTATGTTGTATGTGAGTCTAGAGTTTTGGGGAGAGGTCAGGGCTGGAGATGTAAATATGGGAATCATGTGCATATCAAAGGCATTGAAAACTATGATGCTGGATGACGTCACCTAGGGAGTGACTACGGAAAGGGAAAATTTCAGAGAACTGAGCCTTGGAGCACTTCAACATTTAGAGTGGGTGAGATGAAGAGAGAATCAATAATTCAGATGGAAAATTAGTGATCGGTGATGTAGGAAGAGAACAAGAGAGAGTAGAATCTTAAAGCCAAGGGATGAAAGTGTTCTGAGAAAGCAGTGGTCAATTGTGTCAAATGCTCCTGTGAAGCTGCAAAAGATAGGGGCAGAGAATCAAATATTAGATTTGCCCTCTTGAAAGTCACTGGTAACCAGGACAGGAGCTGTTTTGGTGGAGTTGTGGGGACAAAAGCCAGATTATAGAAGGGTCTAGAAAAAGTAGAAGGAGATGAACTAGAGTCATCAAGTATAGAGAATATTCTTTTAAAGGAGTTTTGATGTATAGGAGGCAGAAAAATGGAGCATTAGCTGGAGGGCTTTTTCTTCTAAGAGGGTAGTATTTTCATATGCTAAGGGGAGTAATACAAGTAGAGAAGGAAAAATTGGTGATGCCACAAAGAGAAGGGAGTAGTAAGTAGAGAAGGATCTCCCATGCATGAGTGGAAGGATTGGCCCTTGACAGAAGATTGCACAGGTCCTCATTTGTAAACATTCCACACTGACCAATAAAAGTTTACACTGAGTGCACTATACTCTGTTTAGGAAGACAGAAATTGGATAGTATATTTTAGAGAAATGTACTTTTAAAAAATACAAGTTTGAGATATATAGGGAGCAGTTTGCAATTACTGGAAAAACTTGGCTCTTAAGAATGACTCATTCTCCGAAAGTGCTAAATAGCCAAGATTTTATTATATGTCAAAGGCAAGTATTTATATTTGAATACCAAAATTTTTTAATATTTATAAAAACTTGGAATTTATAAAATTTAAAGTATATATTGAAGATGATCCTTTTAAAAATGTAAATTTGGCAGACAGTGGTTGTTTTTCACTTAATCTCCAGGTTCCCATATTGGAAAAAAATTATATTTGTGAATATTTGAATTGAGCATACCTTCCTTCCAACCTAGAAGTATATTTATTTTCTTTTGGCTTTGGTGAGATTATATAACCAAAGTTTAAAATTGTATTTTATATATACACAGTGACTATTCCATATGTACAATGTGGAAATAGTAAATTGATGTTTTGCTGAGCTCTCGTACAAAAAAGAGGTAGAGAATGTCTTAGTTTGGGCTGCTATAACAGATACAGTAGACTGGGTGGCTTAAACAACAAAAATTTATTTCTCACAGTTCTGGAGTCTGGAAATCCAAGATCAAGTTGCCAGCACATCTGGTGTCTGGTGAGGGACCACTTCCTTGTTTGAAGATGGCTGTCTTCTCATTGTATCTTCAAATGGCAGACAGCAAAGAGGAAACAAGCTCTCTTGTGTCTCTTCTCATAAGGGCAATAATTCCATCCATACAGCCTCCACCCTCATGACCTAATTACCTCCCAAAGGCCCTACTTCCTAATACCATGGGAGTTAGAATTTCAACATATGTATTTTGAGGGGACACAAATATTTAGTCCAAAGAAGACCATAATATAGGTTGAGTATTTCTTATCAGAAAGTGCTTCAGATTTTGGATTTTTTCAGGTTTTGGAATATTTGCAGATACTTAACCAGTTGAGCACTTCTCTTCCGAAAATCTATAATCTGAAATGTTCCAATGAGCATTTCCTTTGGGCATCATGTTGATGCTCACAAAAGATTTTTGGATGTTGGAGCATTTCAGATTTCAGATTTTTAGATTAGAGATGTTTACCCTGTGTAAAGGACACTTGTACACCCACCACTCAGTTTGAGATACCACCATTACAATGTTGCCTGTACATCTCTCCTCAGTTACATTTACCTCCTTCCCTGTCTCCATTAAGTGACAAACGGAATAGGAAAATGAAGCTCTCATTGAAGAACAGCTCTTATTAACAGTTCTTTCACTTTGCACTAAGATTCTACATATTTAGTTTTAAGATCTGAGTCATTGCCAGAGGTTCTTATTAATTGATAAGATTGAGTTCTTGCTTTAACATAAACTCATATCTACTTTCCATCTTTATTGCAGGGTAAGAGACATGTTGTCTGATGAGATCACCAAGGCAGCTGCAAAGTAAGACCTATTCATTCTCTTACCCCAAATCTTTCAGGAGCCTTCCCCCCCCCCCCCCCCCCCCCCCCCCCCCCCCCCCCCCCCCCCCCCCGGCAAAGTATATACAGTTTCTCACGGCATTTCATAACTTCAAGGGTTTTAAAGTATTTTTCAATTATTTAAAAAAAAATCAGTTGTTACCCTTTCTTATATTGAGTCAATTCATACTACGTGTTTTTTTTGTGAAAATACAAAGGGACTAGTATAAATACATAACTCATACATCAGGAGTCACTGAGGTCGAGCCCTTGCTGTACACCTAACAAAATGCCATGTGCTTTGGCTTATATTTAAAGAATCGTAATTTAGTTTAGGGTTGGGGTTGGGGTGGGAGGGGGGTTGGAGCGGGGAATCCTTGCTAATGAGAGTTATGTGGGTTTGACAAATAGATTAGAAAATCTCAACCATGAAGCAGCAAATAATTCAAAGTAGTATTTCTTTCATTCCCTTTGTGTTATTGGGTCTAGTGTATCAAAAAATTGAATTTTTAAATACTAAAAACTACTGCAAAGACCCAGCAAAAAGGCAATTTCAATCAGATTCTTATGGTTATTTTAACAAAAATTACTTGAGTGTTACTGTCTTGAGTTTTTTTATTTACCTTAAGCCAACTTTCACTAAGAAAATTATACTCTGCTGAACTTGCTTGAATAATCTGTTCAGGTTTCTTTGTTAACAAGCTAATTGTTCCCATAGTAAGTTACATGTTATGTTCACTTCTCTGTTCCTGCATGACCTTTTAGCCACTGCTATTTCTGTTTGAGTTCCTTTCTTCTTAGCCTCCAAATAACATAAATACACCTTTGATCTAGATTTCATGTGTATTGAAAGTCTCTATCATCTAGAAATATTTAATTGCAGTATAGTTTATCCTTATTATGTCCTGTAACTTCCTGTATCTAAATAGGTTTTGCCTTAAAAACAAAACAAAACAAAAATGTGGTCTACCTTAGTGTTAGCTTTCTACTAGTAATTTCTTACACAGGTACTTAACTGTGAAGTTGGATCTCAGCACGTGATCACTACTCAGCCCCTTGTCTTCTGAATAAAGGGAAGTAGAAATGGTAATCCTCCCTTGGACTCAGTTTTGTGGAAGACCCTGGGAAATATCTTTTGATATATCTGTTGACAAAATGAAAACTATGGTACAGAGAAGCTTCAGTAGGAACCTCTTTTCCCTATCTGTGCTGTGTCTGATTTCCAGTTTGGTGAATTGCAGACACAGTGGGAGAGTGCTCGGCTGCATATTGGAGGGGAGGGTGCTGCATTGGGGGTAGGGGCTGCCTTTGACCTTTACCTTTCATAGTTTGTTCTGTTATGTAGTCTACTTATTTCCTGTTAAAAATAGTCTCTTGACATTTGCAGCAAAAGCCTGAATGCTGAAGAAACTAGAAGCGTTCTTTTAAAACAAACTATAATTTTGCCTGTCTAGTAGCTTTTGCAATTTTCCATTCTAAAATTTTATCTCAAAGTGACTATAATCTTCAGATTTGCAAAACATCACTTTGTGACTAATACCTAAAGAGAGTATGTGCACATTCTCAGTAGTACAGAGTAAAAATAATTCATGTTCTCATTGTATTACCTTTTCATCAAAAATTTCAAAGTATTTTATAGACCTTATTTTATTAAAGTAATCTTGACAATGCTAGGCATGACAGCAAGTGAATAGGAGATATCTAAGGTCCAGAGGCTCAGAGATTAGTGACAGAGAAGGGGGAAAAATCACTGCTACCTTCTCTTTTCTCTTTCCCACTAGGCCTCCTTCAACCAGGTGAGGACCTCACCACCACCCTCTGCCAGCTTAGCTTTTTGTTCCTTAGAACATGGCTGCCATGGGCTGATTTGGGCTTGGGTAGAGCTTGTTTTGTTCAGAGCCATAGGTAAATGCAAGAAGTTTAACACCAACCACAGTATTATACTGATTAATGCATTTGAGAGCATTTTTAAAGCATTAGATATAGGGCTAAGGGACACTCAGAACACAGATAAAACCTGATGATTGATACAAATTTATTTTCGTTGTTATTAATTAAATAGATTTTAACCTGAAGATAAAAATCTCCAAAGGATTGAGTCACTTTACTAATATATAATGTAATGCTTTATCCTTGAGAAAGCATCACTGTAGCTCATCCTTTCTTGTGCTTTTTAATTAGGTTAATGACATCAGTTTGTTTCAAAGGACAATTTAATTAAAATGTCAGTGGTGTTGTCTAGGTAAATACTGTACCAATGCTCACATGTTATTATGCAAATTAGTCTCTGCTGTTTGACTGGTAGGGGATAGTTATTTGGGATACAAGGTGATGAGTTTTTGCTGAACCAGTTGTAGATTTTCATCTGGCCACCTCCTCCTTGAATTTATTTTGCTGCATATATACTGAGTGCAAAGATAATCAAAAGCTAGTCCTGGCACCTTTGGGAAATGCGTAGATTGGCCTAGGAATGCATTGTGCAGATTGGGACTAGTTTTTTCTATTCAAAGATTGATGTCCAAATATGCATTCAGTCTGCAACCAAAGATCTAATTACCAGTGGCTTTAAATAAAATTTTCTCCATTTTTCAAGGACAAATATGCTCAGGTATGTCAAGACCAGAGAAGCTTTTGGAATAAAATCATTTTGGGTACTGTTTTAAAACAGGCTAAATTCTGTTTCATCATTTAAGAAAATACTTTTTATGTCATTTGGTATAATCTTATTTTATACAAGGATTTGTACCTGATTTAATACCTGATTTATGGTCACCATGTGTTTTCTGTAGGGTGATAAAAACTGTGGATGTAATTTTCAGATCACTGAGAATTTAAAACTTTTTAAATTCAACCTTAGGAATTCAGTGACTATTTTGTAGCTGGACAGGCCTCAAGATCATCTGTTAAGGAGAATAATATTAGAGACAAAAGATTTACTTTTGTTTTTGTTAAATGATTTTATGGCAAGGGTATGTAGGAATGCCCAAATCCTGCCTTGCTTTCTTGTGTATTATTATCAGCTATATGAGCGCTCAATAATCCTCACTGCGGAACTCTAGCAAAAATTAGCTTAGAGCATCTGCTTAAACCTTAAGGCTCCCTTCCTATTTTGTCCTCCTCCCCACCTCCCCCAATATAAAAGTTGGTGTCTTAATAAGTTATGGCAGGCCTAGGGAAATGAATTGAGGGATGAACAAAATGATCAAGCATGCAGAGCAGGCCTTCACTGAGGTCCCTCCCAAGACGGGGAGCAGAGAGGAAAGGAGGGATTGTTGAATAGACAGATGGAAGAACTTGATTATGGCAAGTTCCGAGTCCCATTCTTAACGAATGGAAGCAAAGATGCAAGAACACGTGTGTACGCCAACCTTTTAATACCCACTGACTCACCTATTCAGTTGTGACTATGGCTTGAGACTGGAAGTACTAGATTTGCTTGGGGAGCGGGGTTAAAAGTCTTCCTCCATCCCTCATATCTCATCTAGTCTTGCACTGGGGTAAGCAGGGAGTGGTTCTTGGATCATATGCTGAATTCAGGTTCAGGTCTCAAGTCCAGTTTTGGGGAACATTCTCTGTATTTATGGGAACCCGCAATCATAGGACTAAGAAATGAACTGTCTTACTGTATGGGTGCTCAGTTGCCTGAGTTCTGTTTTTACAGAATTGGCAAGCCCAGAGTATCTCATCAGTGTCCAACTGGGGGCTTTATTCTGTAGGATCAGCTTGGAATTATGGAATAATACTAATCGTACATTTTCAAGTGGTGAGTGTATTAAAAAAGTTCAGTTATCTTGATGCTTAATTCAGAAATCAAACATAAGATTTTATTGCTGATATTAGAAAACTACCATTTGGATAATGTAAAAGGGCAGCTCTCACTCCAAATAGTCTGAAAACAGGTTGTTGTTGTTTTTATTTCATCTTATCTGGGGTCTCTAAATTATATTACAAACTGACTTTAAGGTTGATGGCTTGGCATATTAAGAGAAAGAAGGACGGCTGCCTGGGTAGCTCAGTTGGTTAGAGCATGTTGCTGACAATACCAAGGTCCAGGGTTCTGTCCCTCTCCCAGCCAGCAGCCAGCCAAAAAAAAAAAGAGAGAGAGAAAGAAGGAGAGGGTAATAATGACTGAGAAAAGCTGCCATGTGTTAGGGTGTGAGGAAAGTATGCTGTCTAAAGTGGTTCTCTAGAAGCCAGTTCCACACACCAGTGCTTCAGAAAAGCCAGTGTCTGTTCTATTCTGCTGGGCTTATTCACGTTAACTGCCCTTGGTTGCATTTTCAGAACAAATTGATAAATTTGAATTGGCCAAAGATGACACAGAAATAGCTTAGGAAATATGACGTCACATGATGAAATAAAAACTTTAGGAAAAAAGAACTTAGATATATGAGCTTGGATTTCTAAGTTACAAAAAGGCTTAATGACCATACACTGATAAGAAGAGTTAAAAATCGGCACTAGTATCAGAAAAAGGAAAAAAGCTGTTGGTATCAGGTAGCACACAGACTTGTGTGTGCAAGACTCTGTGAAGGAATGGAAATGCCTTTTGACCTCATCTGCCCTCCTATAATAACTCTTCCTCTTCTCTAGTTAATTCCCCAAAGTGCTCTCTTAGCATATTTTTCTTTTTAAATAGGGAGAGTCCAGTGGTCAAAGGCAATGCCCTATTAGCCTTAAGTGGCCTTGCTGTCGTCGTATCCAAACATGAAGCCAGTCTCTCCTCAGACTCGGACGGGGCCCAGGAGGTGAGTTAGTGTGATTTAAACCAGTTGGGCTTTGGTTGGGTCTCTTTAAGCCTGGCTTTAGGTGGCGTGGCCCTGGATTTTCAAGGTTAGATTCTGTGATTGCAGCACCAAGTTACACTACTTGATGGGCCTTGACACTGTGAGCCTTAGTGTCTTCCTGACTTTTCTTTACTGCTTTTATGTTTTGCATTCTCTATCACAGTTAAGTGGTCATTTCCATTTGAAGGTGCCAATTTTATGCAACAGGGATTGTCTTCTTGTGATTACATCAGTGGTAAACAATCTTAGGAGGTTAACTAGGCTTACTGAAAGTGAACAGTGCTGTCAAAAAATGATAAATAAGCAGTGTTTATTGACTGAAAAAAATTGTACTTTGCATTTTAATTGTAGATGTCAGTGACAAAGTGCCTATTCATTTTTGCAAGGCATTTATTTCTTAATTAAACATGTGGTGAGCTGGCCAATGTTAATTTCCAACGTATTTTCTCAGATAATTCATATCTGTCAAAATAAAAAGGCATGGATTTATTCTTGCTTTAAGCCCCATTATCTGGTAGCTATTATTATATAGAGACAATATAGCTAAGTGGTTAAAAAACATAGGCTTTGGAATAGGAGAGTCCTATATTTCAGTCAACTGTTACTTCCACTTTATGGCCTATTTCTAGTAATTCCCCCTTTCAGTATCTGTTTCCCCATCTATAAAATGGGGATAACAATGCTTATCAGATAGTATTATTGTAAGGATTAAATGAATTAATATATGTAAAGCACAACGCCTGGTAAATGATACTAAGCTCTCAATAGTAGTAATCATTATTGCCAACATCAGCATCTACTTCATCATTTCTTGCTGTGTAAAAATTGAGACTTCATTCAACATTATTCAGCCTGTGTCTATCCTCAAATATATGTAAAGCACAACGCCTGGTAAATGATACTAAGCTCTCAATAGTAGTAATCATTATTGTCAACATCAGCATCTACTTCATCATTTCTTGCTGTGTAAAAATTGAGACTTCATTCAACATTATTCAGCCTGTGTCTATCCTCAAGGAGTATCTTATGGGCCACCTGTACTATTTTTTCATGGTGGGGTTTTTTGTTTGCATATGAGGAAACTATCTTTGCCTCATTTAAATAAAAAAGGAACTGGAAAGATACGGGATATGGAAGCCCATGGAGTTGAAGGCAAAGCTTAAAAACCAGGTTTGGGAAGAACAGGAACCAAGGCAAAGTGGAGAATTGAGGCAATGAGTACTAATGAAACATCTCAGCAGACCACCCCCAATAGGATATAGGTCAACTCCATTCATTTATTGTCTTTGTGCATCACTTACTTAAAATTCAGAGTTCCATGGGTCCTAAGTCCACCTCTTGCATAGAGTAGGACAGGTAGTTTGATTGAACATTTAACCGGACTTGAAATAATGGAGAAGAAGGAATTCCCCAAAGGGTGCTATTACTAATAAATGAGAACAAGTGCTGTGTGTCACAAGCTGCAAATGTATGTTACGTGTAGGGAAGGGAAGGAGGCTAAGGATTATTATGTGAATGATAAAAATATAGTTAGTTACCATATGAAAATTTAACTTTAAACCCATAATTTTATTTCAATGATGAGAAAGATGAAACATTTTTAGAGAGGAAATGTTTTATATCCTTGAAAGAGCTATAGTATGCTTTAGCAGAGGCAGCATGCTAAGTAGATCTACAACCTAAAAAGTTAATGCCTCTTTTTGTAATCCCTTCGCTTTGGTGTAATTTATGGTGAACTACCAGTTGTACAGTTAATTTGCCCCAATAACAACTGGGGGTCTAGCTCAGAGTTTGAGTTCCAAGCTCTGTTGTTCTTCTTTACACTCCCCCACCCTTGCCCCGAGCAGCTACACAGCCCAAAGATGGGGCTTTATTTTTATTCTTGGAGATTGCTCAGTACAAACTGAAGACCTCATTCTTTGATTAAAGCTGAAATTGTTGAACTTCATTCAAATCTGCATATGATCAACACCTAAAAATCTTGAGATTAAGGCCTTTATTTGATTCAAGGAATTAATTAGAAGAAGATACTCAACTGGAATGACCTTTATAGTTTGTACCACCTGAGTGTTACCATGTGTGTTAACAAATGCTTTGACAACCATATTGTTCATGTGAAATCTGTGCTATAATATAATGATTCTTAGCCCTGGCTGTATGTTAAATCACCTGGGGGACTTTAAAAAAAAAAAAAAAATATATATATATATATTTTTCCTTTTTGTCTTTTTTCATGACCGGTAACAGGATCGCAACCCTCGGTGTCGTGCCCGCATCACGCTCAACCAGTGAGCGGACCGGTCTCTACATGGGATCCGAACCCTCGGTGGTAGCGCCGCCACACTCCCAAGCGCCGCACTCTACTGAGTGTGCCACCGGGCCGGCCCATGAATGATCTTTTTAATCAAGTTCTCTTTTTAATGAGTGGGGTTTTATTGTTGTGTTGTTTTTGCATTCTCTTTCCTCTTCTTTTCCAACTGAAGATCATTTATGTTTTTCTGCTGAATTTTTCAATTAATTGGGTGAATGATGTGATTCTCAAGTGACTACTACCTAGTCATAGTAAGCAGAAATGCTAAAGATGTTGATCAAAATTTTGTAGGCTGTTTATTGCCTCCTTTGTGAAATAACAAGTCATAGAAATGAGAAATTTTGATTTGCTTTTTTTGCACATCTCTCCTTTTTACTTCCACCTTATCTTCTATAATTCACTGAACACAGGAGAGCTCTGAAGGGCTCTCAGATATGTTCTGTTTTGCAGCCTCCATCCTCTCACTTCTGCTAAGTCTTACAAAAAAGCTAGATCTTATTCCTGTTGGGGCACCGGTGAGGATGTCTATTTGTCAAATACCCATTCACCTCATGTAGTCCAGGCCCATGAATTTTACTTTTTGATAATAGCACTTCATTATTTAATACAAAAGGGGGTTGTACCCTAGATCTAGAAATAATGTTTAGATTTGTTTTCTATTTTCCATTATTGTTTTATGTTTTTCTTCATTTGCAGATTCAAATGAATTTTCTTTCAATGAAAGAGTGGGTTTCTATGGTGCTTGATACTCTTTTGGTCATTGTGGATAGCCATTACCAACCCAAAGGACAACTTTTCTCATGGTTTTATTATGTAAGTGAGAAAAATAAGAAATAAGAAAACTCAAGGGTTGATTCTTCTGCCATCAATTGTTCATGTGAAATCTGTGCTATAATATAATGATTCTTAGCCCTGGCTGTATGTTAAATCACCTGGGGGACTTTAAAAAAAAAAAAAAATATATATATGTGTGTGTGTGTGTGTGTGTGTATGTGTGTATGTATATATGTATGTATGTATGTTTAGCTACATGACTATGCTAGTTGTCGGGCTCTTTTACCTGCCGGTAATCCTGTCGACTGGGCTGGTTGTCGAGCTAAGGCTGGGTCTGGAGCCCACAGACCCCTCAAGCCCATTCACAGACTGGGTTTCAAATCCTTCACACACCAGGTTGTGTCACCAGACCCCTTCACGCAGGTCTATGAGCTAGGTAACCGGCCAAAAGGTCCTTGGAGCCATAGGTTGGAAAGCATGGCCGTGCAGGGCGGATGTCTGAGGCTCACACCTGTCCACTTGCTTCACTAAAACTCCTCTCTCTCTCTCTCTGAAGAACACCAGAATAGCAAAAAAACTAAGAAGATACATTGGTGTGCATGTGCAGTAACTCCACACACACACACACACACACACACACACACACAATTTACTTACAAAGGATGCTGAACCACACCCTACTGGACCCCAGGTGAGGGCCCTGACCAAACTATTTTATTTTCCCGGCAACTTATAAAAGAAATAGTGATGTGTAAACCCCACCTCTGATTTAGTTGCTGGGGATGGGCCCTGGATGTCAGCATTTTGAAAGCTCCCTAGATTATTTTAATATGTAGTCAGGGTGAAGAGCTACAATTATAGTAAAATAAACATTGGCTGAAATGTGGAAGGACCCTGAGATTCTATTTATAGTTTTTTCATTTTAGGGTACGTGACCGTTGGCAGTTCCCTTAATCTCTTTGGTTCTCTTATGAAAGAAAAAATTAATGTTTTGTCAACTTTCTAAAAGGTTGTGAGGATCAAATTATATTATCTATGTAAAAATTGTTTTGAAAACTATGAAACACTCTGTAAATACAAAGTAATATTGTTGTTGATCATAAAAAGACCCCTGTTACCCAGTCATTCTCTGTCTTCTTTTTTTGTTTAGGTTTCATTTTCCCTTTATTGGTTGTAGTGTGTCCTTTATTTCTGTTTGTGCATAGAATTATTCTGGTTCTATCCTACAACTATCCATTGCTTAGAGAATTATGGTGATCATGAGACAATCAGCTGAGTGGCAGAGGATTATAGTTGATTTGAATAAAAATTTAGCACAGATCCTAACTGTTGCTAAGATCACGCATTTAGCCTGAAACCCCATTGCCTAAGGTCTCTGTACATTTTGTATGCCTCCGTCCTTCCGCCCTTGGTAGGACCTGGTATGTATTCATCTGGGGATTAGGGTCTGGAGCTAGATTTTTAGCCATACTTGAGGCAAAAAATGACTTACCAGATAATGTAGAACTAAATTGGAAGGTAGATTTTGCTCAAAGAAGTGATTTCAGTAAGATCATTTGCTTTCTGTCAGATGTGTTTTTATTTCTTTAATGATTATGAAAAACTTGTTTAGAAGCTTATATGGAGGTCTTTGCAATAACTATCTGGCTCAGATATTTACCAGGATAGGACATTGTATGAAATTCTAATATGATGCTTAGTTTTTGCAAATTAATAAAAATAGTTTCTTTACTAACCAGCTCAGGGTTGCTTCTTACCTTTGTGATTTTTGCATTATTATACTTTTCAAAGCCCTGTTTGAAGTCACTTTATTTTCTATATGCTAGCAGCTGGGTCATTTTGAGTAGCATGGCATTAAAATGGTGCTATATTAACTTAAAGTTTAACTTAGTATATGTTTGGATTTTATCCTTACAATACTAAAGTAGAGAGCAACTGGGCATTGAATTAAAAACACTTTGTAATGTGGTTTGACTGCAAGGGAAAACACTTCCTTTATGGTGTGTCTGAAATTTAAAGTGAATAATAGTGAGTAGTGATAAACGGGCTTTCTTCTTCACTTGAGACGTGTTTATAAATGCATGTAATGTCTGGTAGAACTCTCTAACATGGGATTCTTGTAGAAGCTGTTCATATTCAATGCTCTGTCACTTTATCTGGGTTGTTATTCATTTCTTTTCCCATAATTACATATAGGAAGGAGCATATAGAGATCTCCATTTCATTTTGAATAGCTGGTTATTGCTTTGTAACCAGAGGCTTTTAGGATTTCAACTTCCTTTTTAATTAAAAGGAATTAACCCCCTGTAGGAAATAATCCATCTACTGGGAAGGGTTCCCACCACAAATTTTGGGAGATTTGCCAGTAGATCCCTGCACTAACATTATACTTGTTTCTCCATACTAAACTTAAACTCTTTTTTCCCCCTTTTTCTTTCTTTCTCTGGAAATTCCTAGCTTTCTGGGCATTTATAATGTGGCTTGGTGGTTTGTGCAAGCTAGGATAGCTTCACTCTGGATTTTTCACTGTATATACATGTAGGCTTTTAAAAACACTGAAATTGTTTCAAGCTTTATAGTGAGGGAATTAACCTTTAAATGGAGGACACAATTTGTACAGATTTAAAAGGACATTATTAACTGATTGTTTAAACTAAATTCTTTCATTAAGAGCAAAAACAACGTATAAACAAACCCATTTAGATTTTTAAAAAATTATTATTTTTGGTTTGGCAGGGGTGGGTCTAAGCGAAGCTTGTATTGTCGTATAGCATTTTTGCGAAAGGTATACTTCCTTCATGTTTTAAACAAAAGACTAACCTCCTGTTTTCTTCTTTTGGCATGTCCTAGAAATCCTATTCTGGTGAAAACACAGCTAGTGCCATCGCCCGTTCTGCTGCTGCCACGGCTTTGTCTCTGCTTGTGCCAGTTTTCATTATCTCTTGCAAAGAGAAGGTTGAGGAAATCCTAAACATGCTGACTGCCAGGTTACCTGGGAAACCAAGTGCTGATGAGTCTCAAGCCGTGCAAATCCACATGGGCCTTGCTTTGGGGATGTTTCTCTCTCGCTTGTATGAGGAGAAACTCAGGTACAGTTCATTAACATATTGCTTTTCCTCTATGACTTAGGTGGAGGATTTTGCGTCCGTACACACACATGCATAAATGTTTTGTTGCATCTGAGCAGTATATGGTTGCTAAACTTTTTGAGATGGGCAAGTTGGTTCTTTCTTCTCCTTTACTGGTAAATTTGTTTTTCTAAAATACCATCATGTACATACTAATGTATTTTTTCCCCATACTAATGTATTTAAAGATTTCTGGTATTAAAGTGATTAACTAAAGTAGTTACCTGAAAATCATTTCATACTTAGGTAAAAGCCCCGGTTACATCTGTGTAATAGGCATGAGCAAAAGTCTAATCTTATGGTACTATAAGTAAAGAAAGCTTCTTTTTTTCTGGTTTATATGAGATTAAAATAATTGCTGATCCTTTACTGATATCACTCTAAAGTGGGAGAAAAGGATTGGGGTATCCCTGGCGCCTGAGGGGTGTTGGGAATCATTGAATCACCTGAGCACTGCATGTACCCAGCTTTAAATATTACTTTTATCCTGTGCCCTGGCTACATTTTTATAATCCTTAAAGAGTTTTAATCTGTGCATATTATACTGTGTGCTTTATTCAGTTTGATTGCTCATTTTTGGATTGCTAGATTTACCCTTGAATGGAGCTAATGGAATATCAAAGACCCAGGTGGAAAATTCCACCAAATGGGAAAGTTTTCTTGTGCATGAATCTACTTTAGTTTTGTTGTTCATTCTGCTTATTCTTTATTTTATAGCAATTCTTAGAATTTTCTGTTCCAGATTGGTTGGAGTGTCATACAACATGAATATTTGGTTATCATGAATATTAATATTGACATGAATATTTGGTTATCATGAATATGATGCCAATGACTTGGAATTTAGCCCTGTTTTTCTGCATTGGTAATAGGATAGTAGGAAGAAGCATCCTATTGTGAGTTTAGATGTTCTTAAACTTCCCTAGTGGGAAGAAATTAGCTATCCATCCATAGGCAAGAAGTGGCATTGGTGTGGATAGGCTGGACGACATTATGCTATATTTAGATTTCAGTTTGAAACCAGTGGTTAAGTTTGCATTTGTAATTTACGTAGTTTTGCACAAATGGTATGTAAAACTTTTATGAGAATTGCTATTGATTCAAGGAAATATTGTATTTCAGATGATCATTTTCAGATATTGGAAATATCTATCAGATTATTAGGATGATTGGCGTAGTCTTTGTGATCATGAGTAAAATATATATTCAGCATATTCGTTTTGTTCTGTTCGCCAGCATTAATACATACAGGCCTGGTTCTGGACATGAACAAAAAACTTCCTTTTGCATGTGATTTGACCGTTACATATTTTGGGTGTGTGACAGAATACAAAGTGTTTTTAAAGATTTAAAACTTGAAAGTGATTTTTACTTTGCTCCTGTGCTACAAGTGACAGTCTCTTCACCATCTGTGTTCATGCTCTTTCTTCAGTATCGTTTCAAGTAACATGTTTTACAACTAAAAATGAGCTGTGGCAGTTTAATTCTAGGCAACTCATTTCATCCTATCCTGGCTCTGGCTCCCTTCCTTGTTAACTTAGGTACTTAGGATTCTAGAGCTGATAAGCTTGCATTTGTGGTTAATTTAATCATGCTGCCTGGAGAAACCTGTGGTGATTCCCCTCGAAACACTTGTCTCTGGGTTCCTAGATTGTCTTTCACCCACTATCTTACTTGAATTCATAACTGCAGGAAACCCTGGGCAAGGACACCAGGAAGCTCTCTCCTTGATAATAATGCAAATTTTAACTTTGCCTTAATGTTCCTGTGTTTGATAGTGTCCTCCTTCTTCTTAAGGCTTGTATATTAGTACTGCAGTAACTAGTGTAATTGTTCATAGCTCCCACCTTTCCAATTGGTTGGCACAGAAGAATCTGAAATATTTACATTTTGGTACTAATAAATGTTTTACTAGGTAATGATATAATGTTACCAGATAATGATATATTTGGAGAAAGTTTCCATTTTTTTTCTAAAATAAAGGTGTGTTTTGAGAACTGTTGATTCTGAATAGTTGATGACATAAATTAAGTGGCCCAAACTGACCCCTTAATGGGAACAGGATTAGGAAAATATGTTGGTTCTCAGCGAGTGAAAAATCATCTTGTAGGAGATAATTATGATAATCAATCCATTTGTTGCTAAGGCTTATGAAAAAGTCTCCTGAATTAAATTCCAATCTAGAATTTATTCAGAAAATTATATTATTGCAAAGCTTCTTGCTTCTGTCATAACCCCTGAGATCTCTTTAGCATTTGTTTAGGATATTTAAGTATGTTTCTATCCAGAGAACAACTTTAATAGGACTTTTTTAGTTAAAGCTGTTAAATCTGTGTGTGTGATGTGAGGTAGGGGGGTGTGAGTGTGTGATGTGAGTGTTGTGTGTGTTTCTCTCATTGCAAAATGTAATCCTTTGCCTCAGACAAAATCACTATAGTCTTGGTTTTGGGGAGACATTGTTGAGAATGCTCTATGGCTGGCTGGCATTCCTGGGGCTGCATTCCACTTAACCTGATCTGAGGCAGCAGCATGAAAGTTGAGATGAGGAACCCCTTGATAATAAAGTGTCAGTGATGAAGCCCACAGCTCTGACTGAAAAAAATAGTTATAGAACTACCTTTAAACTTTCATTTTACTATGTGAGTCTTAGTTCTCACCAAGACAGTTGCAAAAACCACATCAATTACTGTATAAAGGCAGAAAAATATAGGGCTACGGTGTTTCCCGCCCCCCCTTTAAAAAAATGTAAGTAAAGGAATAGGGAACTTCTAATCTCCTCTACTGAGACGTGAAATCAGAACTGACAGCCTCTTCAAGAAAGAGATTTGGAATAGTTGTTGATAATATCACCGTAACAGGTTATTAAATATTCTGAAGAAAATCTCTTTAGCATTCTTAGAAATATGTATTTGGAATTCTGACTTTGGTTTTTATTTTTCAGTGATTTAAAATTTGAACAGGCTGAGAAAAATCAAAAGCAGAAGTTTTAGGGTTTGTTGGTTTGCAAGTGGTTATACTGTTAAAACGGAAATCCAATTATTGAATAATTTCTCGAACTTAGTTTTTCTAACTATGAAATAAGTATATGTGAACCACCTATATTGTTACTTTAAAAAACAAACGCTGGCATTTTAAGTATTTTTATTGAATAATTTCTCGAACTTAGTTTTTCTAACTATGAAATAAGTATATGTGAACCACCTATGCTGTTACTTTAAAAAACAAACGCTGGCATTTTAAGTATTTTTGACTTAAGTTGAGTGATTTGAAATAATTCCTTTTTCCCCTTTTGTTTTTACCCAGTGATATATCTGGCCAACAGATGAACCTTCTTCTGATGAAGTCTTTGAATGCCCTGGAAAATTGCTGCTTTGACAGTAGTCTTGAATACAAGTATGTTGCTTCCATGGATACTTAGAAATTGGGACATAGTCTGCCATAAACCTTGCATGATATGGTGAAATATTTTAGTACCTGATCTTGAATTCCTTTGCAAAGAGTTTTCAGTAATAATAATAATGATAGTAAAAACCTTGTAATTAAAGCTTACTTGTTCTGAAAACCATGTTTCAGGAACAGACAACGTGCTTAAATACAAACCAACAAATGTCATTTTGCAGCTTAGTCTTTATATTATTACTAAGACCTTAGTTTTATCTGGTACTTATCATGTGAGGCATATATCCTTACACCTGGATGCATGACTTACCCCTTTTAGAGATCTGTTGAAACTGTTTGAATTTGTTTGGGCTAAGAGAGTGTTTGATGATTATGTTTCCTTGTGAAATCCAATGGCTGAGGAATCAAAATAGAGCCAAACAGGTTGTACCAGGGATTCCCAGCTTGCTTAACATTAATAGATCCTTTTTACCCCCAGCAGACCTCATGCTTTTTAAAGGTTTTTTCTATTAAACTAAATATTTAAAATTTTAATTTATTTTCTCATTCCAGTAATGAAAGATATCAAAAGTGAAAAAGAAAGTACTTCAAAAAACAGTGTTAAACATAATCATTTAGTGCAACATTTAATGTTTCAATAAATCTATGTGACTTGTATCAGTGAATATATGGTCTTCGTAGGCCTTATGAAATACTGACACCATTTAAGATCTATAGTGTATGTTTTTGGACTTCCATGTGTTTTGGAACCTCAGGTTTGAATCCTCTGTGGTTCATTTTTACTAGAAAACTCAACAGATTTTAAGCACTAACTTCCAATTTATTAATTCATTTACTTTTGCTGTTATGGGCATTATTCAAATATGAATTACGTCAGTGTTTACATTTCTGGCCTTTAGGGACTTATGATCTAAAGCTACATTCATACCACCAAGCCTGTTAGGTCCACACTAATGAAATAGTAAATGAAATGGTAGAGGTAGTTTTATGTATATATGTATATATTTTTTGGGAGGGGTGGCTGGCCGGTACTGGTATCTGACCCTGTGACCTTGGTGCCACAAGGCCACACTCTAACCATGTTGCTTGTATAAAGGATTTCATCATGAGTAAATAAAGTCAGTCGTCCACTTAGTTGGTGATAGTTATGGAATCTTCTTTCAGGAAGGAACCATTGATACTCACCCAGTTTATCAAGAAACACTTCAGAGATCAAGTGACATCTGAAGAGTGTGGTCTGAATATGAGAATAGAAAGCATTTTGTGGCATAGTTGAAGTCTCTTGAATATAGAAAATGATTAATGGGAGGGATAGGGTCATTTAGCTGTTATTTGAATCCAATAAAGTGTTGAGATTTTGAGCTTAATCCATGTATTGGTATTGTTGCCTTTTACCTGCTCCTCCCCCACCACCAAGATATTCATAACTGTAGCTCAGGGTATTATAGAGTGGTGAAAAATTTTGTGATGAAGATGCTGCAAACTTTCAACCAGTTGGAACAATAACTTTCATATATTGTCTTCATTAGTTTGCAGGAAGGTTGTTTGAATGTAAGGACGACCAGGGGGATAACAATTATCCACAGTACAGTTATTTATGCACTTAAACACTCCATGTGTCTAACTAAGCATATTTAACTTTGAAATTTATTTTTGTTATTAATAAGATTTTTATTTCTTGATTCTTTCCTTCTTAATGAACAACTATATTTGGAAGAGGGAAGGATGCTTCTAGATAGAGAACTAGTTCTGCAGAGGAAAGTAGAATAGGTCCATCAGAAACTGACTGTTCCTGTTCATTTAGGGACAACTTGCTTGTCTATCAGCTCAAAAACTCAGGTCCTTCAAGAAGCCCTTCCTAGGTACAGAGAATAAAACAGGAAATGTACCATCCTCATGGAGCTTGCAGGCTAGGGAAGAGAGAGTAACCAAACAATCCCCCAAATGATCCTCATCAGAGTTTATAATTAAACTTGTATGAAGTAAATTAGTACAGGGTGCTGTGGGAAATTATTAAAGAGGTTCCCTGTTGGGCCAGAGAAGGTGTCCCTGAGGAAGTAACATTTGAAATCATAGGCATAAATAGCAGTTAAATAGTCAAAGAGGGAGCAACAGTCAAATTTGTCAAAGTATTAATCAAATTTNTCTAGATAGAGAACTAGTTCTGCAGAGGAAAGTAGAATAGGTCCATCAGAAACTGACTGTTCCTGTTCATTTAGGGACAACTTGCTTGTCTATCAGCTCAAAAACTCAGGTCCTTCAAGAAGCCCTTCCTCTATCCTCTCCAAACTTCTATTTTTCCTGTGGTCAATGACGTTTAGTTTTTTGTCATTCCTAATGCTTTGTGGGTGTCAGTTTTTATGTAGTTCTCCCTCTGGTTTCAGGTTAAACTAATACTTACTGAATAGCCGCATACTGAGCTGGGCATTTCCCTATCTGTTTCTCATGTTATAAAGTACCTGTGATAACCTAAATATGATACTAAAGCAGGGATTATCATCACTTTGGTTTGGTTTACAGATAAACAAAGTGAGTCTCAGATAGTAGACATTCAAGTTCACACACTTAAAAAATGACAGAGATAGGAGAGGAACCTGGGTCATCTGATTTCAAAGCCATTTTTCTTTCTCTTGCATAGCATAGCAT